CCTCTCGTTATTGTGCGCTACGGCTGACCAGCTTAAAATAACTTTGCTCAATTCCAAATGTAGCTGTAAGTATTGTTCTTTGAAATTACATTTATATATAATTTCTACTACAACTAACGTGTAATTCATTCCTGAACTATTCCATTTTAAGGAGCAGATGCTAATCCAGGTCAACTTAACCAAATTATTTTTTTTATTCATCGCCCAGGTATTTGTTTTTTTTGGTTAATGTTCAAAAATTTTGGGGCTAACTACAGATTTATACCTATTAATAATTAAGTGCAGTGCTCTGCGTATGTTAAATTTAAGTATTGTCTGTTCTTTATGCGAGTAGTACACATTTTAATAAAATACTTTTAACGGTAAAAACACGAACTAATGCCCCGGGGAACCCCGTAACCATAGCTGCTATATTGTAGCAGCTATGGTTAGAAGTAGCTTATGAATATCATTCTTAAGACTTTTCATCTATCTATAAATAAATTTTATTTTGAACTACCGATTTACTGCCAGGTTCTAGAAAGAGCTTTTGCAGACGAAAGACAAAACCGCGTTTCGTCTTTTTGTCCCTTCATCGGGAAATCTCTCGGAGATAAATTAACTTACCGTAACCCCATTAGGATATATTACAAAATGACAAAAACATTACGCACGTAACGTAAGCACTGAAAGATGAATATTTTTCCCGCTTTTTCCACATTTCTTCCATTTTTCACTTCTATTGGTTGCCGCTTGATATTTTATAGCTCAAAGCGGTACCCGATAAATGGTCTAACCTACATACAAATATTTATTAATTTAAAAAAACGGGTTCCTGAGATTAGCGCTTAATACAAACATTTCAGCATTATAATATTAGTGAAGGTGTTTGTGTTGCAATGACGTTAGTAGTTGTGATATTTCGTTAATATCCTATTTCCGGAGCCCCCTGCGACTCTCATCTAAATTAGGGCGGCGGTTTATTATCTAGAAAGATCCGAGCTGCCGAGTTAATCTATTAATCCCGTAAACTGAGTGTATGTGTGTCAGAGCAATATTTATTAAGAACGACCACTTAAAATTATAGCTATACATTACTATGACGTCAATGGCGTACCTATAGCCTTATGACTTGTATCCTTTAGTATACATTGTCTACTTACACGTTTTAATAATACTAAAGAAATCGAATTTCGTTTTGAAGAATTCGATTAGTTTATAGGTAGTACAGTAAAAGTATGGTAGAATATTTCTTTTCTGCAAGCATATTTAAGCAAAAGCTGAAAATCACCTTATTTATTGATCTTACGCATTACGCATTCAAAAAGTGCCTAGTCAAATCCTAGTAAACTTCAGAAACTACTTAACAAGAGATGATTTAAATAAAACACTTTAACGGTTTAAAACGCGATATATTAGTTAAACTTATTTGAAAATGATTTTTAACTTCGGCCCGACGTTTCGGATGCTTTGCAGCAGCCGTGGTCACGGGTCTCCCCGTGTCATTAATCACAGTATTTAAGAGATGATTTGCAAGTATAATATAATAGTAGGTAACGAGTTTACAGTATAGTTTAGTAGTAGTTCTGTTTTAAAACATTTTGCTTTGCATTGAGTAGCTCTGAAGATCAACCTTCAAATCCTGATTTAGTGACGTTTAGTGAATGATATTATTACTCCAGATACTTTCAGTCCTTCTTTTATTATAGAAAAAGACAAACGAATATGGAGTTCACTGTAGTTGAAATAAACAACCCATATATAACATCATACAAAGTGTGCTGTCGACTTATTTTGGCGTTGGATATTCCTACTGAAACCTAAACGCGACTAAGCGTTCAAATCCTTTGATAGTATATTTTTTGTTAATAGTTTAACTTCACAGAAGATATGTCTGTCGAATGCCCCGCGAAGGAACAACGTGGTTATATAATCATTTCATGTATTGGTATTACTGTTGTAAAGTAAACTGGGTCTGTAGTGGCGTAGGTTGATTTGTCCGCAGCATAAACGAATGCTATTGAAATGGTATTATGGTTTGCCTATACTAAAAACAAGACCACTCCCACATTTTCAATCACACCTCTTAGATTGCTTTTCCTTATTCATACTATAAAGAAGCGGTCATATAAATATTAAATTATTTATATTCATATATTTTTAATTATCGCTGCTTATCTAATGGATAGTACAATTTGTTGAATTAAATACAAATACACTACGTATAATGCATAAAACATCTCTACATTATTTTGTGGAGGAGATATCTATACTAATATGATGAAGCTGAAGAGTTTGTTTGTTTGAACGCGTTAATCTCAGGAACTACTGGGTCGAATTAAAAATATATGTTTGTGTTGGATAGACCATTTATCAAACAATATAAGACATTGTGCATCAATCAATTGATAGGAGCAACGAAACAATGAAAATTCTCCTTTGCTCTACAAAAACTGTTTAATTAACGAAAAATGATGTAAAAAATATCCGCGACAGTATATGTCTCTCTATCTTCTAGGAATAACACGCAAGAACGGTAGCAGCTATAACTATCTATAAAGCTTGTTTGCAAAAAAAAACTCAATGCCTAAAAAACTATTTCACGCGTATGAATTTGAGGGCCCAGTTAGTCATTTATAATGGAGAGAGAGAATATATATTACACCTAGAGAATGTATATAGATTCAGGTAATTTTCTCGAGTGAACGCAAGTGGTAATCATGAAATAAAACATTTTTAACAGCTAGAAACTCAAAATACATTTGATAATTTATTTCTAACTAGATCAACTTTTAACAATCGTAATATTGTCATAAAAATCCTCAATTCGTCAAAAAAATAAATACACGCCGCCATTACGTCTCAAGGGAATGTGAAACTTGCCATTCATTTCAGATGATTCTGTGACCTCCTACATGTATATTTCAGTCTGGCAACACCGACCAGACGGCGCCCTCAGTACCAACTATGATATAAATAACGAGTAAACTTCCAGAAAAATAGCGCAATTATTCCTTTTTCGAGTTTTCGTCAACGACTTCCCGACGTCGAATAAAATCAATTAACATTTTATTATGTCGCGTTGAAAACTTTAGTATTATAGAAGCTTTATAAAACGTTTCAGAGTTTCACTTCAAAAACTTCTGAATCTATTTTTAGTACCTAAAATATTAAAAAAACTAAAAGTCACTTCGAGGTAAGGGAAATAATTTTTACAGTATTGTGCAATATTAAAAAAAATATATATAAACTAATTTACCTTACATTATTTCTAGAGTTGCGACGAGTTACGCTTTTGCCGAGTAACGAGTACCGAGTATTATCGCCTATAATTTTTTTAAAAGCAAGAGTCCTTTCGAGTAGTGGACAGGGCACAAACTAAGGTATCCACAGCTGGCACGGTTTTCAAGAGTATTTTTAGCCTATTCCTATTTTCTTCGATTATTTTGGGAGACCACAAATTAAAGGAATAGGCTTTTACCAGAAAGTGCAGTGAGCCTTGTGTTCCTGCATCATAACTTTCATTTATTAAATTATAAATATTCATTATTTTTATTACAGTTCTCGTAATTTTCTCAATCAATAGCATAATTTTGATTTTATGAGATTTTCAAAGATTTCCTAAATTACTAATAAACACTTTTGGATTAACATCTGTTGTTTTAATTATATCTACATAAAATATTGTTTATCTGAAAAAAAGTATACTCGTTATTAAATAACAAATTATAACCGAGTTATTCGGTCGAGTACGAGTATCAAAACACCCGCTGAGGACGCAGTGTACCGAATATCAACCGGGGACGCGGCCCATCTCTAACTATTTCCCAATAATCTTAGAAAATCGATAAAATATTGACTATTATAAATGTCGTAATGCCACCATTTCTGAATACTATAGTTATCACTCGATTAAATCTATAATAATTATTATTACGACAGTGTTATTATTTTCTTATACTGTGCACTTTCTTTGTATTTACCAACATGTGATAGCTTCGTTTCATTGAGGGCAGGTGCTGTTCCGATCGAATCTTGATCAGTCATGTGAAGCAAACCCGACCGCACCATAACTTGGCAAGGTCAATTATTATTCGCCAGACGGCGCCTCCCCGACACACTTCAGACCACTGCCAAGTTGTAGCGGAGATGATAGTTTTTATTTATAACTGAGCCCTTATCAACGACAAGCCATGAAATATTTTGTGACACCTATTTCTTACAAAACAATTTATTATTTTAATAATGTAGAGGGAATTTTTCAATTGTATTATTAATTTTTTTTTAATGATAAAGCAGGACAGATACGCACGGGGTTTACTTGATCGTAGGTGATATATTATATCAATTAAGCAACTGTTTTGTACTGGGATATTTGGAAATTCTATAGACTGAACGGCTTTATGGCTTTTCATCTGTGGTCGGCGGTTCGTGATCCGAACGTAATTTTTATATTCCTATCACCCATTTAATATCCAGATTGCCAGATGAGGTCCAACATAATTAAAAAAAAATTAAACATGTTATACCCGGTGGGGATCGAACCCAAGACCCGTTGATTAGCCGTCGAATGTACTAACGTACTAGTAATGAATGTCCACTTTTTTCTCAATAAAATAAATAGCACATTAATTTAATAAATTCAGATGAATAAAAAATAGTTTACAGCAAGTAGGGCGGTCGCAAACTGCTATCAAAGATGAATGAAATTCTTTAACGTGAAAACGTAATCAAAGAGATATCTACGTCGGAAAATGAATTTCCCTGTTAAGGCAATATGGCTCTTTAATTTCACAAGTAGACTGTTGAACTCGCTTTGAGCTAAGAGTTTTTATAATTACTGATTTTCTAAAAATAGGTATCTTAGAGGTTGGTTTAAAAAATATTTTTCATATACGCTTTTCAAGTACGTGGCAAAGCATAATTTATTTAATATCTACCAAATGTATTTATATAGCTGCGATAAAACGTGCAGATGACCGTTAAAAAAGTTACATTGTAACTGTTACACAAATACTGACCAAAAGGCGGTTCGAATCTGCAGTCGAGGAGTAGCGCATGGCCCGTGGGTCCAGTTGTCCCGACCACGGCACCACCGCGCATCATCAACTGGGCCTCCAATTCCACCCACCGTCCTCCGCACTCTTGCTGCAGACAAATCAGAGCGAAGCGTTGAAGTCTTTGTGTTATTTTTCCATTCGATAAGAATTGATTACTTAGAACACTTTATTACTAAGTATGTTCTTAATTCGATTTGTGTAAATGCTTTTTATGTTAGTTTGCGCATGACTTCGTCGATTATAAATCCACTTTCATAATCCTTTTTTTTATTAGATATTTATAAATCACAAATTACGGAAATCGATGGGAACTTTTAAATTCGTGTGGACTTTGGTTTGTATGTTTTTTTTCAATCGTACTTTAAAACACTACAATTGAATAGAGGTTAGGATGAAGCCGAGAGACAGTCGAAGGAATTTCTCCTATGGTATGTTATGGTAGGTAACGTAAAAATTTTTACGGACCGTGTTTAATACAAATAATACAAATACAAATACCAATCAATGGTGAACACAATACTAAGAATAATATAGTTTCATACTTTGAAAATAAAGATCATCTATCCGCACTAGAGCAGCAAGGTAGCTCACAACTTCTCATATAAGAATAAAACCCTTCTCTCAGTAAAGCCTCTTCTATGTTTTTTTTGTAAAAATTTACCTCGTCATAAGCAACAGACGTGAGCGGCAGGTAGTGGTAACCGAGAGCTCGGTCCCAGATGACGCCTTTGTTCCACACTTCCACAAGGAGGCCCAGGTTGATGTCGTTTATTTCACTGTAATAATAAGTATACATATAGTATAGTTGACAATAATTACATATTTTATATTCAAAGTAATTCTATATAATATATATAATAATTAAGTATTCAGAATCCAAATGGAAATTATATTTTTAAGTTGAACAGAAATAGGTAATGTGAAATTAATCGATTATGAGCACTATTAAAATATACTTAATACAATTAGTGAAACTCCAAAGCCCTCAATAGTTCTTGTTACATGCCCTATATGAGATAAGCACATATTTGTTTGTGTTTTACTGATAATAATTTGAAACCAAAACAGTTTCTGTTTCTTCGTAGTTTGAATCCAGGACCTTCCTTCACGACCACTCTTGCTTTGAAGGTGGTCGAATTATTTTATAAATATAATTAAATACATTGTATTGCGTTAATTACTGATTAAGCTTCAAATGATGCAATGAATGAGAGACAAGTCCCGAATTCAGCCGAAATATTTTTTAAGAACCCGGTTTCCTAAACACAAAATAAATCTTTTCGTCGGGACTTAGACGATCAACGCTACGTGTTCAATTAAAGATTGAATCGCATAAGATATTAAAGATTCACGACACAATTAGGGGAGGAAGAAAATCTCGCGAAGCAATTCACGTAAAAAGGCTAACAAAACGTAGAATATATTTGGGTATCGTAAAGCCAAACTCGATCTCGGCTGGGTGTTCACAAATCGCATAACATACGACTGCGATATTGGGAAACATTTAGTGTATTGAACCGTGAAACAGCTATATACACGCTATACTCACAAAATTGTGAGTAAACATTCCAGTAAGGTATTTATTTGTATTTGGTATTCAATTTTCCTTTTTTTGTAACAGAGACATGTGGAATGTTCCAAAAACTCTGCAGCTGTGCATCACATCTAGATAAAATGCGTTGCCGACTTTTGGCTTTGGGACCTTCTGTTTATCCACAGGACCGGACAGGATTCCGATATATCGTATACCTTTATTATATTTATATTTTCCAGACAAACTCCACCATGTCTTAAATTTAATAACTTATTTGAAACCCGCTGGTGGATCGAACCACACTCCGCTGATTGTTAGCAGTATTATATATACATTGCCAGTATTATAACAACATGGCCGTGAAACTGTTTCAAAATATTATTTACGGATTAAATTAGGGAACATAAATATTTTCATTATTTTATTTCATTGGATTTTTTGGTCTAAAACATACCCATAATATACTCGTATACATTATTAATTACAAAAAATATATATGAAATATATTTTTTTCACACAACCCAATTTCAAACCAGTAATCCCTTCTCGACGGCTACGATGTGTTTCTGAATGCTACGATTTGCTACGGCGCGGGTGTTACATTGAATTTAAATAAATTTTAAAAATGAATTTAAACAAACTTTCTTACTTAACTGAAATAATAATGGTTTAAAAAATAAAATACTTTTTGTCGAAAAGTAGAGATAGATTTATTGCGGTCAGCTTCGGTGAGACCGAAGTAAATCTTTTGAACGGTGCGTGAATAAAGTGGACATTTGACTAACAAACAACATTTAGGACTCAATTTGAGTGCAATTATAAATAAAACTATGCAGATTTTCATAATGCAAAATGTTTGTTCTTATGATATATAATATCTATCAGCAAATTTATAAGCATAGGGATCATTGACGTTGTAACTACTCCTCAACTTAACATATCCATTACTAGATACATTTTGTAAATTAGTAACCCTTTCAGTGATGAATTAAAAAAGTAAATTATACACATAAACGGGTCTGATCAACTATGATTATTTGTGTAGTTGATAAGACCCGTGTACTTTGCCAACAATACTTGTTATTTATTCTGCATTTGAACCCAGGACCGCTTATCGCAATGCTAGCTAATTGATCTAGATCATGTTTAAGAGTATCTATACTAATAGTTAAATATGACGAGTTTATTCGTTCAAAAAAATGAAAATTCATGAGAAAGGCATATATACATTAAGGTTCGACCAATATGCGAGAAAAAGCAAAGGTAAATATGAAAGGAAACGGGGAAAGTAATCTTTGAGCGCTTCCGTTGCGTAAGATGCAAGAAACCGAAGAACTATGAAAGAGAGAATGATTTTTCTTGAAATCTAATCTAAAAAAAATATCCGCGACAGTTTAAGTCTATCTTTTAAGATTAACTCACAAAAATAACGCGACGGGACGCGAACGACGTCGTGGATAAACGATTTATAAAGCTTAGGAGGCTGTTTGCAAAAATAAATATGATACTCAATATAACTATTCCACGCGAACGAAGTTACGGGCACATCTAGTGAAAAACACATGTTAATTCCAGTCCCAGGATGCGATATTTTAGTTAAGTAAACTAATGGCGCTAGTTAACTTAGCAGTTCTTTACTTTGAAGTCAAATACACTCTCCATATCTAGACTCCCCGTGGCCACGGCTGCTGCAAAGCATCCGAAACGTTGGGCCGTAGTTAAAAACACTTTCAAATAATTTCAACAACTATATATCGCTTTTTAAACCGTTAAAGTGTTTTATTTAAATGTATACTCCCCACGTTAACTACAGACAGTATTCAAATAAATAATTTAAAAAAATACAGCTTATTAGCATAAAATTAAAACATTGCAGTTTATTTCAACTGTACATTATGTAGCCTTAGAACATCCGACGATTCAGTTGGTAGCCACCTCAGCTCCCTAATTGCACCTATTCAGTGTGAAACAAAAAGGCTTTGTACGTCATTATAACATTAATGGCCCACATTTCTATATGAATCGTCAGAGAATTTCGCAATTGAGTTTTTTGCGAGCCTCTTATATATTCTGAGTAGGTTTTTTGCTTACAACATTATGTAACATTGTTACGTTTAGTCAAATGTATTAATAGTTAGAATATTTATGCAGAGGCGACAACGGGAGGAGCAGCGACGGCTGGATAAGCACCTGAAGCGGTATGCTAGGGCTCTTCGTGAGCAAGCTTCGTGGCGTGGACGGCACTTTCGGTTAACGTGATGACTTTCAGTTGCATAGTGATAATTCGTTAAGGTATTTTCTCTTAGAAATAAAAACTTGTTCCTAATATGTTTTTGTTTTATTTCATACTTCACAGCTTGTGGTATACCTCTTTGTAAATGTCATGACACACCGGTTTTGCACTCTGACAAAACGTGTTCAAATAGCTTAATAACATTACATCGATGTCGATTTATTCTTTGAGATAATAGAGACTCTGTATTTTATGCATAGATACACTTTATCACTACACCCCGTAACACGGTTGCATGAGCACCGGACATGCTATTTACCGATAGGTAGGTATACACTGCACGCTACGTGCACCAACATTATACGAAGTACATACGATTACAACATTGTCTTGTTCACTATCGTTATAATTTAGCCAAACCGGTAAGCTATAGAATGACTCTCTTAGTATTAGTGCATCTTATATGTATGTTAGGTAACAATGTTATACATGATTAGAATGTCACCAAACCTGTCAGGTACAAGGCGAATAAACAAACAAAATAAATTCTTTCTCTGATATAATATTCTGAAGCCGATCCTATCTATATAGAGCAATAGGTGAAACGCTGGTTGGTAACAGTCTTTGCGGTTATTCTATTTTCGGTTTTCCTGTAGTTAATACTCGCGTCATGAATAAGGATAAATATTATATTTCGATGTGTCAAGTTTTAATAATAGGAACACCTGAAAGGTTGATGGCTCCGCAGGTACGTGTAATCGCCGGCGTATACACATTCAGGCCTTGCTCACGCTTTGTGATAAGCGCGTTCCTGCGCTTAATTTGTCATAACAGGGTTATGCATTCAATGTGCTTATAACTCTAATCAGTACACCTTGCGACTCAACTGTACTTTACCACTAGCGGCATCAAAACTTTACTCGAGTTTACCTAACATACAGTTGTCATGAGAGGAATTACATTTAAATGTGAAGCAATACAAGAGGGAAGTGTCTTAACATTTTACCTATTAAAATTTCCATTATTCTACGTCCATAGGGGTATAAGAAATAACATAAGACATATCGAAGACAAGTATTTATTTTAATAAACACGAAAATGTACATGCCCAACACTATATGGATATTGCTGGATCCGAGACCTCACCTGTGATATTGCGAACCGACTCGAGCAATATGTCCGTGTCTGTACGGTCACCTGTCGCATAATAGTTTAATATGTCCGGGTTGTTTCTATGCACCTTCCCGATGTATTCACTAAATAATTCCTTGGATTCTTTCAACAGGATCGCCGGCACTGCATAGTTTTTCAACCACGCGGAGATGTGCGTGGCACAAAAATGATGCAAGTGTGACGTGTTCTTACACTCGAGTCCTGGAGCTACTACTGTGTGTGGATTCTTTCTGCAGGAGCAAGTGTCGGTAGCGAGCACATTGCAGCTTCCGTAGTGCACCTTCTTCTCGATCAAGTCCACTATCGCAGGGAGTCTCGCCCAAGACTTGGTACCTGGCGGTGGCCCCCAAAAGAGGGGCATCAGCCAGCCCCAATATATTAATAACTTGTCACCCGGGGCTCTCGCCGGATCAAATGTGTAGTGGACGGTCAATTCGTCCCCGGTAAGGAAAGTCAACTTCACGCTACCCATCGAGAAGAAATACTCGCCGCATGCATCGTAGAACTGCTCGAACTCAGCAACGGTGAACGGTGGTTCATCCGATATTGAAGGTTCTTGCGGTTGTAACGACTGCTCAAGTCCCATCTTTGATCACGGGGCTGCTGAAAGTCTAGTTGATTCCTCCGTAACCGCGCAACCGTTAATGTGCATCACCGACTTTTCACAGATCAATTTATATCACTCTCATTCCGATTTATACTGCGTGAATATAATAATAACACGGCGATAAAGACTTTTAACAACCTTGCTTTGGTGTTATCGATTGAAACAACCGGTTAGTTATCCATTAAATAAGCAATTGAATATTAAAATACTCTCGGCAGTAACAGTCGCACAATCATGTTTATGTAACCAGGTGATTGACAATTCATCGCACACTCTCCAATCGGCGGCCCGGGAGTTTAACGTGTTATCTCTACCTGTTACGTAGGTATGATAGATTGTATGACGCTAACGATAAAAGTACTGCCTCCATCGTTTTCTTTCCCTAATCCATAATAGAGCTTCAAAGGTTTGTATGTACTGTTGAGCGCATACAACGTTTTGTGCATGGTAGTGGCTGTTATCAGTGCTCGCTATGTATACTGCCCTGCAGTTTTGTATCATGCTTACGTTATGCAGAAACGGTCAAGTGGTGTACGGCTTACAACTGCAGCCATGCAGTTTGCATCAACGTAGAAAAGGTAACCTGCACTATCAAGGAGTAGACGGAAAGAAAATAAACGACGGGACAAATTTAAATTAATTTAATACCTATCTTAGTCTATTTTATTACAACATTTATCAGCATCTCACTAGAGTTTCCGAGCAAAAGTAGGGATAATCTAATTAATAATACATAACTTAACTACATTATCACAACATTCATTGTCTTCTCACTGAATCGCGTAGACAAAATAGGAATCACCAAGGGAACGTGCTGATTCCAGTAGAATGTCTGTATCTCTGCAGACCTCCGGTGTATAATATTTGAAGGCATTTGGATTGTCCACGTGTGCTTCTTGGATAGCTTCATAAAACAGCTGCTCCGATTCTTGGAGTAAAATCTTCGGCTTTAGGTACAGATACAACCACGAACGGACATGTATCGAACAATAATGGTGGGAGCGTCGGTCGTCGTACGTGTCCCAATAAATATCGGGATACTCTGGCTGCGTTCCTGTGCAGGAACAGAAGTTGTACATACCAACTTTGCACTTATCTAAATGGATGTGCTTTTCGACGAAGTTTGATATCCGCTCCAGTCTGACGAAACTTCTATGACATTTTGGGATTACTCCGCCGAACAGAGGGGTGAGAGTGTCCCAGTTTATCAGCAACGAATCTTCTTTTCTTCTTGTAGCATCGAAGTTGTACAACACTTGAAAGGATTCGCCGTTAAAGAAGGTTACGTCAATTTTGCTCGTATTCAGGAGAAACCGTCGGTATGCATTATGACACTGCGAATATGCCTTCTCGCCGATAAGGGTCCGAGACGATCGACGAAATCCACGTTTTGTAAAGGTATCCAAGGCGTTCATCGGTTGTCTTACTTTGGTGTGGCGCCATTGTCAGACGAACAAGTTTCGCGACAATGTGGCGTTTTGGTAATGTCAACTATTCAGTCGTCGGACCCGTCGTCAACTGTACAGCATCTGCCATCGACTCTCTTTTATAAGTGGTTCTCGAATGGACCGTGCCTACAGACTACTGATAACATTAGAAACAAAAACAAGGAAAACTAAGAGAATTAAACTTGTTCTTAAATAATACGTAGTGATAACATATAAATTATTAACAATAATTTAGGTTTTCCCCAACCTTTGACTTAACAGTTATCGGACGGGGTCGACCAGGCCAGCCGAACTATCTATAGAATATAATAATAATAGTCCACCGTCATGAGGAAACTCTATACCCAAAAACAAACCCCCAATACCTAGCGCGTCCAACCTTTAACCGAACGTCGATAACGGAAGAGTTATGAAGATGTTTATGCTTGCAATTCCGTAGAACCGGTTACTTATCCGTAATCGAGCAAAATTGCAATAAACAAATGGATTTCCGGTAATTGCAATTAATTCCCAAAGAATAACAATTTAAACAAAGATCAAAAATCATGCTGAGACCGTGTGTACTCGAAAAGCAAATGTATATTTTTCACGTTCATTCAACAAGGAAAGCAACCACTAAAAGCATATAGCTAGTAATAAAAAACAAATCTGGGTCACGATGACCCATGACTTGACTCAGATATCACAAGCGCAATAAATGTGTAAAATACCCAGCAAGATAAGATGTCCGTTATCGAACATATTTTTAACAAACAAGCCATGTGGGTAAATTACTCATCTAACACCACGTAGCTCACCTTTAGGTACACAATACAGATGAAAGATCGAAAAAAGGTGAATTGTACAACCTGATGACAGGGCATTTCAGGTATGCACTATGCTGTTATAGGTATTCTCACACTCTTAGTACATCTCTTGAGTAACAACATCATTTTTAGCAGTAGTTGGTCTTGTGAGTACTCGCCACACATGCAGCACTGCAGTTCAGCGTCGCGCTTGCATAATGCACAAGTGGCAGGTTGTGTACGGCGTATGAAACGCGGGTAACTACTCCATGCCAACGAAGCAGATTGTACAACAAGACGTATGTCGGTTCTAGGCGTTCTAAGTGCCGTACCCCGACAACGTGTGCTGCAGGCTTGTGTCCATCTAGTCCCGGATGCATGTTGATGCAGCGGACACGGACGTTCATCTTACTTATCGCTTTGATCTTTATTAGAGCGCTGTACAGGTGGCAAAGCCGGCGTTCGCTAACGAAATAGCTTCAATTTTTCGAAAATTCATTTTACCCCATGCATTATATTGTTGGACCCCCTGAATACGCTAATGCCATCCTCGCCTTCTCCAGGTGTTGCATTTTAATTATAGAGACCGTACGTTCATTTAAAACTGACTGTACATTGGTGGGGAATTCATATATACCGTGTGGTAGAACAATTATGTTATTTATGGATATATATAATTTTATTATTAACAAACACTACAGAAATGGTTTAGATTAATAAAAAAATGTTATCTATATGTTAAAACAAACAAAATCTATGTGCCCACTATGTTAATAAAAATTTAAAAATGCTTACATACACTTTTAAGGTGCAGGAATGCAAAATGCAAGCAATTTTTCGGTTTTTACATTTATTAGGCCTCGATATAGATTATAAACGAATGAAGGTTGACTACTATTTATATTTTAATTTAACATGTTCGATAAAATAAAGAAACGTAACTGATTAGTCTCAATACTAATTAAAACAAATAATATCATAAACATAAAATAAACACCAGTTTTTATGTATCTTGTAGTTATTCAGCTTTAACTTTGAAACGGTGTTTTAATAGAAGTTTAAATTGATCCCTTTTATTTACAATTTGGCCGCCTCTGTAGCCAAATGGTAAAACTTATTGCCTAACGCAATGTTAAGCGCCAGAGGTCCTGGGTTGGAATCCCAGGAAAACAAAATAATTGTGTCGGTCACAGAACTCTAATCAACTACTTTAAAGAACCTGTTAAAGAACGGATCAGTGAAACGAACACAGAAATGTGTTCGCCCCATGCCCCACGAGGGGGAAACGGGATTTCACTACTATTTACAATTTGAAAGCGTTTGCTTTTATATTTTAATTGAACTCCGACGATAAACTGTTTCAGTCTATAAAATACTTCTTTGTAGGTCTTTAAAAAAAGCAATAACCCATTTGAAATCTGCTTTCATAGAACGCTTGTCTCACTTTATTTATATGTTTTCACTCCCACGTGGAGTCGCTAACTACTAATACATTTATTGCGCAATAACAATCCACCTTCACTCGTAAGGTCGGATCTTAACGCAATAACGTAAAGTATTATTTGCTCTGTTCTTTCAATTCTATATTTAAAACTAAATAAATATTCCACGTTTAAAATTTAAATAATACTAAAAGACGTAAGAAATAGATAAGTTGAACGTATGTTACACCAAACAATTTTAATATATCTTTCAACTAAGATTAATAACCATCTTTGATGTATGCATCTCAATCGATCTCTTGATAAGATTATCGGATTATTGGCTGGAGCTTCCGTGGCGAAACTATAGTGTATTACCTAGCACGATTTAAGCAAGAAATGGAAGAAATTGTGCAATACATTGCTTTGCGTTTGTTTTATAACAAGTGTCTTCTAGTCCAGAACCTGAAGATGCTAAAAATATATTTAATTAATATCGGTCTTTCGGTCGCGTATAGGCATTATTTTTTTATTTGCAATACTACAAAAGAAGGTCGTAGCTTAGATTTCAAATAAAGAACAATTTTTCTGACGCACAAAGTATAATGTCAGTAGCGTAACTGACCTCATACCAAGAAAGGTGCACTATGAAGGGTACTTGAGCTAACGCTATTCTTTTTTTCAAAAAAGACAACAATGAATGGCTTGTTCAAAACCACTCGTGTTGTTTTCAAGTAATATTGCGCGAACATAACTTTATATAGCATTTATTTAAAACTGAGACTTAAATACTGGATATATAAGTACGAAAAGTGTTTTTTAAGTTTTAATTAATCCTAGTTGCGTACCTAGTGATGATAACTAAAATAATAAAGTTGAAAAGTTTGTTTGAACGTTCAGGAACTAAAAAAAAAAAAATAATTCAAAAAAATTGTGGTTTTTGCATTTTTTGAGAAAGGTTTTAGGCTATCAAACATCACGCTGCGACCAATAGGAGCGATGAAACGAGGGGAAATATGTCAAAAACGTTTCCGTTGCGTACGCTGCGAAAAGGGTTCAAGTAACAAAAAAACTATGAATGAAAGAATGATTTTTCTTTAAATCTAATCTAAAAAAATGTCCGTGATAGTATGTTTATCTTTTAATATTAATTCTCAAGAAAGACGGGATGCGACTGACGTCGTGGGTAACAGCATGAATTAATGCAAAAATAAAGGGGAGGTTTGGAAAAACAAATTTTCATGGCATGATAACTATTCTATGCGGACGAAGTTGCTGACACAGCTAGTACTCACATGTCGGTTGTATATACAATATAGTATTCACTTCTCAAATTGATGGTTTCAACCAATTAATGTCCCAATATTTGGCACAGGTCTCTATTTCATATTGGAGGGTTTATGAGCTTAGACCCACCTCCCTGCACCACGGCTGGCATGCTCTACCGCCTACTACTAGTACATTAGTGATGGTAACGAGTACCAACAACCTTTTTAACTTTGATGACATATGGGTGATGATAATCGTGTATTTTCAAATAGTACTAACACTGGATCTCTATATCCCCAGTACTACATTTTTTATGATAGAGGAGAACAGAGAAGCATGGGAGTTTACTTAATGGTAGGAAAAATAAGCCATAAAACATCTCAACGAGATGAACCATCGACCTATTTAGGCTTTTGGATATCCAGAAATTCACACACTGAAACCAAAACTTCAGGATTTGGATTTAACTTCAGGGCTTTTGTATCTATGGATGATGGTTCGCAACCATGAGATTTCTATATTAGTACCAATCATTTAATATCCAGACTTCAAGAAGTAGTCCAACATATTTCAGAAAAAAATATAAATTAATTAGAAAATTTAAATAAAACACATTAACGGTTTAAAACGCGATATAATAGGGGAGTCTCCCTGTGACCACGGCTGCTGCAAAGCATCCGAAACGTCGGGCCGATGTTAAAAATCAGTTTCAAATAAGTTTAACTAATATATCGCGTTTCAAACCGTTAAAGTGTTTTATTTAAATGCACTTTACATTTACTCGCGTAAACTATAGACAGTATTTAAATTAGAAAATGTTGGACCCAGTGAGGTTCGAACCAACGACGTAAAGATACTAGTTTTGGAATACAATTTTTTTTAAATAATATTAGACTGTTCAAAACATCAGCAAACTCGTAAATTAACCACTAGATAACGCCGCAGTTAATTTAGTAGAGGGGTATGCATATTTTATTTTTCATAATCAAACAATTAAAATTGATCGAGAACTAGAAGTTGACCTGAATTCAACGAAAGTTTACTTAAATCTAGTTTCACTTTCAGAGAGCATCTCAATTCGTGGGTCAAGGCTGAGCTTATCTTCCCACCTGTATTAGAAAAAGTGCTTAACAGTTATATAAATAAAGTGCAAAATAACATAGCCATTGTGTTTATATGAAAAACAATAGATGAACTCACAAAAGGAAGTCTTGCTCCCAACATGGAGTTGGGCCCTTCACTGTCACCGTAGTCGACTTGACATTTTGCAACTTGAGTGTTACGTATGTGTTGAACTGTGTGCCTGCAAACGGAAACACACTTTATTCACTGTAAGAAAAGTTTAAAATCACTTGCAATGTCTCCACATTGATGATGCATTATTTAACAGCTAGTTTATTTGTTTCTTTTCGGACTTCTCCCTTTGAGTGAAATATCTTGTGCATTTTTTAACAATTCTTCTTCCATTCTAACTGATAAATTACTTTAGAAAGTTTTTGGTATATAAACCTATTAGCCGTAAGGAGAAAAAGATATCACTTACCTTGTATACCAACATATCGCGCTTTTTTTACTGTAACAAAAAAGCATATTTTAATCATAATAATTATTCTTATCTACTCAGCATGGGCTTATCTAATGCAACTCTTACGTCAATACTTATCCAACTAGATAGCATGAATAAGGGCAAAAATATGTTGCATAGTGATTAAATGGGAACAATATGATATTGCCGCGTCCGCGATTTCCTCTAAAACACATTTTGCATGTATTGGACTGTTGTTTAACTACAGTTTATCTATACACTATTCATTTCATAAATTTTCAAAAAGCGTTTGTTTTATATTGTTGTGGTTATTTGTTTTAAGTGTTTATCTAATCTATAGCATTCTAAAGATAATATTGTTTAATAATTGTTGTGTTATTTGAAGTTTATTATTAGTTAAAATGTCAAAAAAATAATGTTTTATTAATACTAAATGTAAGCGATGAAAACATTATTTATACAAGTAACTAATCCATCTAGCAGCACTATTGGAACTATCTATTAGCTCAATTGACTTTGATGACTATCCAGGAATGCAGTGGCAGTTAAACTAAATCTAACCTTCGATAATTTTATGACTATAGTTGCTAAACCGAGTTTAAGTAGTAACCTTGTCGAACCTACCTTACGTAAAATCACTACGTAGTGATTAAGTTGCGTTTTCATTCACTATCTATATGGAATTATAAATAACTGAAATCGATGAATGAGTCTGTTTATTAAGGCTTAATAAGGCTTTATAAAAATGGCAAGATTACTTTTGCGTGCGCGTGTTACACGCTATTTACCGGAATAGCCTATTATAATCGATTTGAACTGGTAACTAGTCCTCAAATTTACGTATTAACCTTATTAAACTAATCTTTATACAGTTAGTATTAATGAATGTATTAAAAACTATATCGCAGATTGATGACGTCATCTGGAGAGGTTGCGCGATCTTTGACTAAGCAAAGACTGTCAACGAATGCGTAACATCATCTGATTTTTTTACGATAGATGAGGATAGGCAATCGTGGGGTGCGTTTGGTGGTAGGTTAAGCTATATACCATATAAAAAGTTGGGCTGTCGACTTATTTCGGCTTTGGAGATTCGGATATCCATAGCGTTATACCGAAATACGATTAAACCTGACGACTTTTCCCATCGTGGTGGTTCATGACCCGAAAA